AGACTGTAAAGGTTAAGAATTTCAGACAGCATGATTTCCAATGTGAAAACAAACTGTCAGAGCTTACCAAACTTTAATCCACAGTGATATAACTAATTTGGCAACTTAAATGGGTATGACTTTCCTTCCTAATCATAATTTACAGAAACTCCAAGCCTTAGAGAAAGTTTATAAAAGTCATTGAAATGACTGTTATTCTTTCACAATTTAATCAGAAAACATGCTTTCACCCCTTTGTAATGCATCCTTTGTGCAAAAAAAGAAAAATTGACTGAGAACATACTACTTTTATGCTGCTTTTTCTTTCCAAAATTTTCTGACATGCTCTGTTAGGTTGGAAAGTCTCTGTATATTCTCCTTGTACATTTAATATTCTAGTAAACAGGTACACTTACTCTCAGGGGTCTTGTATGGAAGCGAATATAGGACAACTAACGAACCTTAAAAATGTAAATACATAACCTGTGTCAGAGTATGGAAACAAGTTTTGGAATGCATGCATCCTGCAAAGAAAGCCCTATCATAAAATGAAGTACTGCTGTTGGAAGCACAACCATAATTGCTCTCTAGAGAGTAAAAGACATTGTGTTGCTTCCTCAGCAGAAATTCACCTCCCTGTATGAAAATCTGATAAATTTTCTAGTTTCCCACAGGGGGAATGACAGAGAATTTAATGAGAAACACATTGGAACAGGACCTGTCACTGTGTGATTATGCATTCACTAATCTCTCTGTAGGGTACAGAAAAAGTCAGTCTTCTCTGAGAGAGTTTATCTGAGGAAAGGGAAATTCTAGAAATACATTACCAAAAAGAAATGTCTTCACTCTCCTACTGATACCTACTGACATTCCACGAGACTGCATGCTTGCCCTACATGTAGCAAAACCTTCAGGATCTACATAGTAACCTATTTTTATGATTGCCAATGAAACTGAAGTGTCACATGATGGTGAATTTATTGATACCTAAATGCAGCTAGCTTGCAAAAACCTGATATTTTTAATTTGATCTCAAAATTTGTAAGAAATGCAAGCATGGTGAGGGGACAGTGGAAGTCCATACTTTTATTGTAGGAGCTGTGTTATTACATAACATGAAATTCTCTTACCTGTTATCATCATCTCCATCAAATAAATCTTATTCAGCAACTCTATCTATCCTAAAAACATTGTTGAGCAAAAAACACATGCCAGGAACCTAGAAATAAAAGTATATACTGAGTTCTATGACTAAGTAGAGTATACAGTAGTGTTTATAGAATATTTAAGTCAGAGGGACATACATTCAAAATTACTATCAGCCAAGAGAGTTTCTTAAGTTATTTTTAGGAGCCTGATGTTAGGTTGATGCAATGAGTACAGCTATGTTCCCTCAAGAATTTAAATTAGGAGAGTACATCAATGTAATCATCTAAAAAAATACACTGAACAAGTTTTAAGCAAGTAAAAGATGTCTATTCTTGAACTAATAAAAAGGGACAGGAAGTTGTGTTGTGAGCTATCCATATTTGAAGGAGTGATGTCAAGAAGTGATAGCTCATATTTCTTCATGAAATTCTAGAAGGCTTCTTGGAGAATGTGGAATTTTAATCATAAAGAGGTGTTCAAAATTACATGTTTAATTAAGTTCCTAGAATCATTTATTATCAACTACCATAGTATTCTGACCTTTTCCCTCTGGATTAATTCAAAATTTTGATGTTTCATAAAATGCTAAGCTCAGGATTGATTCCAATTTTGTAAATCATCAGATCCAGTCTCACACTTACTCAATTGTATTAGTATTGGGGCTCAAACCCAGAGCCATGCTAGGCAAGCATTCTACCACTGAGCTACATCCTCAGCCCTGTATTCTTGTTGTTGTTTGGTTTTTAGCTAAGACAATATCTTTTTTTAAAAATCTATATTATTTCATGGATAATTTTTTTCATGTGCTTTCCTACTTCATCTGGACATAGATTATTATTTCATCTGAGGAAGAACCATGTCCCTTTTTTGTGTCTCAATAGAACTGCCAACATTTTAAAACTCAAAACAATTATTGATGATAAAGCTGGATAGAAATGATGTTGGAGATCAAATGAGAGCTAATAGTGACTTATGGTATCTACGACAGAGTCAAGACCAAAAATAATTTCATAAATGAAAACATACAGAACAGTTCTTGATTTATAACCTATTTTTTAACTTAAAATTGCTTTAAAATACTACTTGATGATTTGTAGCTCACTTGACTGACTTAATGCTGTGTGATTTCTTAGATGTAAAAAGGCTCCACTGATTTTTTTCCCTCCTTCCCCCTGAGACTTTTAAATACAGCAAAGAGTATGATGGAGGAAGGAAGTTTATTCCTCCACAAATACTTCATATGAAAATCTTATTTTAAAAACTGACCAGTACAATAAGTGATCTGTACTTCTTCATCTAAAAATTCCTCTTTCAAAAATAATCTTTTAAAGATCACTGGCTTGAAACTAGATTTTATGTGGTCAGAATTTAGATGCAGCAATGAAGTAAATCTTAAAGAAAGTATAAAACTCCTTTGAGAAGTTACTTTTATTTACTTCCTACTGCAGCAACACCTACAATGCTAATTTTATTATTAAAATTATCTCTATATATGATTTGCTCCAATTTAAAATGGGTGTCAGCATTCAAGTTTTTGTTAGTGCAATATTTTTATTTTGTTATTGAAAGTGTAAGAAGTCATGGCTTAGACTCTCCCTCCTTTGGCGAAAAAATCATTCAGTTTTCTATTTAAAGATCAATTTCATAGAAAATTTTTTCTTTTGATTTATGATATTTTATTTTCAGTCACTAGACTACATATAATGTAAAAATAAGTTTTGCCAATATCACTTATTATTGTCACACAATTTCAAACTGCTGGACCACTATACCGCTCCTAAAAGTATTAAGGTAATTTGTATATACCCATGCTCTCAAGTTAGTTTCTTTAGAAGGAAGTAAAAATTAACTTTGTGACATAAAAAGCACAGTGTTATTACATCTTATTTAGAAGCCACTACCTCTAGAGATGTTCCAAGTAAATAATATATTAAATTAAAAATTTAATATTAATAAAACTGAAATTTCTGCTTAAAGAAATTGGGTTCCTAAATATTACCATAAAATTCACTGAAATTTTTTGATGAAAATAATATCAAATGAATTTATTTGATGTTAGATGGATCTAATCACTTACATAATCAAAAACTATATGAGCATGAACTCTCATAAAACTTTATGAGTAAGAAGGTATATTTATACATGTTATGTACACATGAGTTCACTGAATTAATTAATTTAGATAACTTTTTATTTAACTGAACATTAATTAAATGTAATCATATGACCAGAAAATGACAGGTAAGTGTGATTTAATTTACTTTTTTAATCTTAGTTGGTCTTTAAATTTTGAAATTAATGAGTCCTGACTTATGCAATACATATTTGGTAATCATCCTACCTCAACCTTCATGTATTAATCAAATCTAAGTAAGGAATAGAAGACAAGCTATTTACTTTTTAGTTTAGTGTAAACTATGAGTAGCCTATACAGTATAGACTCAATTTAATTTTTGTTAATCATTACCATTGTTACACATCACCATGTGTTTGCCCATTAAAAAACACATTTACTAACCTCCTGCTTTACAACTTAAATCCTTCATATATTCTAAGAACTTGATATGTAGTTCACAATTCTTAACAGCAGATTAGAATAAACTAGAATAGTATTTGTAGTTTTATACTGCAAAATATAAGGTGATATTCCTGTTGGATAGGCTTTGACATACTTTTTTTTAACACATTATTGCTTCATTTAGGAGTATTCTAAAGTATAAACTAATTGAAACTTTTGTAGCATTTCATTTTATACTTTAAAAATCAAGCAGTAAATGTAAGTAATGTTTAATCAGATAATTGACTTTGTAATAAACTGCTATATTAAAGTATATGCATGATGTTTTACTTGATGATATATATACATATATGTATATAGGTATAAAGGTATAGTTTGTTCCCATCAAAGTAATGCAATTTCTGTGTATGGTACTAAATTCAATTTTGATAAGTATTTACTGTGCAAACCCAAACAAGTCATTCTTTAATAATAAAAAAATAGTTTATCCGTATTATTTAAACATACTTAAATGCAAAAACCACGAAGTTTTCATGAACTCTTTTGCTCTTTACTATGAAAGACATACTAATCATTTCTAATCATTAGCTATACTTTTTATTGCAACATTTGTGAATATAAGGTGAACATTTGTATTTCAGAGAACTCCATAAAAATGATTATCCAAGAAAATAAATTTTGTAGATTTAATGTTATATTTTCTGTGATTTATGTCCAGCATTCAGTATTTCAGCTGAGAATGAAGTGCCATTTCCAGATCATCAAAATCCTAAATTAAGTTTCCCATATCACAAAGCCAGAATTTTTAAAAAATATACATCAGAAAGTTTCCTTATAAAAGGGCAGATCTATTCACTGGAATGGTTACTTTTAGGATAGGAACCTCAAAGAGTGTTTAACTGAATAATAAGAATATTTTTTGACAGTGGGACTTGACATGGATAACTGTTCAATGATTTATCCATCTCCTTCAGCTCTCCATCTTTCCCTTCTCAGTGGTTGCTCCCTGTGGATCTATACAGTAAGGAGAGCAAGGGTCACAGAAGTATTTTTAAGCACTCTGATTTCATAGTGTATGCTTGATGGACAGAATAAATATATTCCTTCAGCTGTTCAAGAATGAGGGCAGGGGATAGATGAAATGAGAAATGAAGGCAAGATAGAATTAGATCTCAATAAATGCTTCAAATTTAGTGCTCTTTTACCTCTAATCCCTTTCTTTACCTCCAACTTTTAATTCCATCAAAATGTCATATTTTCTCCTTCTAAGCATTATAGCCCAGCCGTTAATGGGGTAGGATTCCTCATGTCATGAATTTATGTACATGTACACAAATCCAAGTTGAGCCTTTTGTGCTATGGTAGAATGTTTAAGCATTTTAAAATATAGAACTAAACTTAAATTACTTGAGGTATAGCCAAAAAATAAAAATTAGTGCAATGAACAGAAAATTGCAAAGGAAATACACATATAATGAATAAGCTACAAACACATTTATAATTCACAAATGGCATTAAAATGATTGCTTGTGTCATATTAATTAAAATAATAAAAGTAAGAAAATATGCTCAATGCATAGGTACTTTTAAAGAGCAAAAAATCCAAAAAACAAAAGTTAATAAAATATTTTATCTTCATCAAAATATTCTTTGGAAACCCAAAATAAAAATGTATCATGCATGTTCTTTCAGGTTGATCTGCAAAAGTCAGAAAAATGAGTTGTCCAGGCTAGTTAACTTTCTGAACAGGTAGAATTCTAAATATCCACTAAGTATAAACCAAGAGGCTTCAAAGTCTTACTGAGCTGAAGCAGTATGCTTCCTGTATTGGAACAAAGAATTCCAGTTCTGCTCCTAGCAAAAAACATTTTTGTTTCAGTCCAAATGAAATAAATGCCCTGACTTCCATACAGTATAAGTATAGCTGAAACTGTATCTGAATATTTTTCTTCACAAGTCTGAAGACACCTGGCGAAACTCCTGAGGGGAAGAGTGGTTTCTTTTTCACAAGGTCAAGACGAACATTATCCAAATCGAAACTTGAGTCTGTATTTCACTGTATTGGGACTTTTGCGAGGTGTAGACAGGGAAACCTTTGGCTTTACAGGGTTAGGTGGCTTTTTCTTTTCAGGAACAGTAACTGTGAAAGAAAGTTCTGGCTGCTCCGACTGCTTGAATCTTGGTAGAAAGTGGGTAGAGACATGCTGGGGTTTCACCCGTGGACTGCAGCCTCGTTTTGCTTTCCCTCTTTTATTCAGGGCCACATACCACTCCCTCCCTGTCTTTTCAGTTCTGTGTATTGCTGAAGCATAGGTATTATAGCTGTTTTCCTGAAATCGTTCCCTGAACTTGCAGTCGTCAGTGAATTTGGCCTAAAAGGGAAAAAAGAGGAAATTAAGTGTGTAGTCATATTTTCAGCATGCATTAAAGTATGAGGTCATATACCAAAAAGGAAAACCAAGAATTCTATTGATCCCTACCCCCATTCCATTCCCTTTTATAAAGGCATCTTTACTTCTTTCAAAGTTGCTCTAAAATTCTTACTTTTGTTTCTATATACATATTTCATTCATCTTTGATAATAAACACTGATTTCTGTTCCCTTTGTTATTACAAGTGATAACCTGAACTCTTAACTTAAACATTATGGATTTCTAATTTAATATATTTAAGAACTGTTAGTGTTTTAAAAATACTTTGAACTTTAAAAAATTTTAACAAAAGATTTTTTTCCATCTAAGCCATCAAGGAAATAGAGCTATATTACTAAGAAACAATTGTCTGGTGAAACATGAATTTGTGCTTGTAGAAATAGGGTCAAATTTTTCTTTTGAAACAGACATAGTTTTTCAGTTATCACTGTAATGCATGCTGCTGAGAGATGAGTAGCATATGGTCCAATTAATATTGCATGTGCTAGAGTTCTTTAGAAAAATATATCTTCACACATGTGAAACAGGAGAGCATATCTGATGCCAAAAAGAAAAACTCACTGGAGTCACTTGCAACATTTCAGTTGTATCTTACACACATGGATGTGTGCACACACACACGCACAACCACACGTCCACAATATATGGCCTTTAAATGCTCAAAGAATGGCGGAAAAGTAGATGAGTAGCCACCTATCATGGTGCACCTTGAGAAATGGAATTCTGACAGCAGGATGCAGAGGATACAATGACAACAGAGAGGAAGGGCATCTAAGTAGGTAGAGGTGACAGGCAAGAGGGCAGGAAAATCATCTTGGAAAAGCTGACATTGGAACCTTGTCCTCAAGTACAGCTAGCTATTAGGGAGGCAGGTGATATGAGAAGGATTTTCAGGAAGAAGTAACAATGTGTTCAAAGATCAGCATGATGCTTTTGAACATCTGTAGATAGTTTAGTGTAGCTTAGTGTGACTTTGATTTGGGGCGCATGGGAGAAAGAACAAGAGATGAGACTGATATAGTAAGCCAGTGCCAACCCATGAGGGCTTGGCTTTACCACCTTGAAGAATCTGATGAAGATCTAAGGACTCTATGCTGTGTGAAGGCAGGGTGCTGTCTTTCTTATTTCTTGCTAAATTTCTACAATAGGACCTGACACATGCTCAGTGCTAAGTTAACCTTTGTGAATAAAAGATAAATGGAGCACCACAGTTCTTGCAATGTGGTTGTAGGCTGTACTACAAGGCTTCTTTTGGTTCAGAATTTAGAAAGGCAGAGGAAAGATCCTACCTTTTCTGATTCCCTGATGTGGAAGCCGGCTGTTCTAATTGCTCTTCTGGGAGTCCAGAGAGACAAGGAGACCACAGAATCATGAAGTGGGAAGATCTCGAGCATACAGTCACACTTGCTACCAAATACCAATTCTGCCAATTGAGCTCTTAGCCATAAGTTCCTTACCCATAAGCCTTACACCCAGAGGACAACTGTAAGAATCAGAACATTTTTTAGGAAAGGTACCTGTAGTGTTCATCAAACTTAAAATAATCCATAATCCTAAAGGAATTAAGGGTTCCTGTTCTAAGGTAGTCTACCAAGTTTCTCAATTTTATAGAGTTCCATTTACACAGAATGCCTAGGCTTGTCTCACATATATAAAATTGTTAAAAGCTGTGTACTTCTGTATCAAACTAAAGGTTCTATACTGGGATAAAAGGGCCTTTTTATCCTTACTTGTTCTAATAATGTCAAACTTTTCCTTGCAATACAGATCACAACACTGTCATATGAAAATCTGAGTATTGCAAGGCAATTTACATAGGTACACTGTTGAGGTCCACAGGGAATTTTTGACTTGTGCAAAGAATACTGACAACATCAGAAGACATCCAATATCAGAACATTTGCAATAGCATACTTATTTACCTCATGCATAACAGTTTACCCCGGTCACTTATATTTAAATCGAATGAAGCTTTTTATTTGGGGCTATAGAGCTATATATGTAGCTCTTCTACAAGTCTGGTAGATCTCTGGATTTGATCTCCAACAGGCTTAAAGCAGGTGTATTAAAGAACTACCCCCATGTGTGGCATCATCTCTTCCTGTCTTCCAACCAGCCAACTTACAAGTAGGCCAAGAGTGATGTGATGACACCACTTTAGAAAATCACACAGCTATTGTACCCAATTTTGATTAAAAAGACTCTTTTTTAAAAAAAAGAAAAGACTTTCTTATAAGTTAAATATAGACTTGTGTACAGCTGCTAGCTCTTAAAAGGGCTCTCCCATTTAATTAGATAATCCCAAAGTTTTATTTTAAAATAAAAGCTATAGCCATCTGGAATGTTTCTGGCTCCATTAAAGGATAAGTATTTTAGAAAGGCATGGAGCATTTCATTAAAAAGAGTAACGGGATGGGATTACAGACCAGTGGTAGAACATTTGCTTAGCATCTGTAAGGTTCCAGCTAAGATCCCCAGTATCACAAAAAAAATTTTCTTAAAATGTCATTGAGGACTGAAGTGTATCTCAAATGTTAGCATACTTGCTTAGCAAGTGCAAGGTTCTGAGTTCAATCTTCAGTAGAGCAAAAGGAAAAAAGTCATTAAATAACATTTTATTTATACCTTTACCTTGACCTGACTTCTACATCTGTTTCCTGAAAGAGTAAGTGCTTTATCCAATTTTGACAAGCTATTTTTTTACCTTTTGCCACTTACAGTGTCCAAGAAAATAAAGAATATATTATTTTTCCATTCATACGGCTGATAGGCGTACATGCACAAACACACACATATGCACACAATAGCATACTAAAAGACAAATACATCTGTTCCCTCCAAGAATTTCTCCTGTGACTAAAAACCTACCTACTCTGCCCCTAAAATTATTCCATCTAAAGACTTTCTCTTTTTCTCTTCAAGAATCTCAACTTCTTTCTCCAAAGGAGCCCTTGAAGGAGATAGGCATTCAAGCTGTAGATTTTTCAAGTATCACCTGACATTGAGTAGGAAATTCACACATCACATGCAGCCCCTCAGCTGCATGAAAATGGGAGTAAAGGCAGTCAGACTATTTTGGCTTTCTTAATTGACTTCTAATTTAATGTTGTGTCTGAAAATTTCCTCCACCTCTGACTGAACAAAACCATTTGAACAAACATTTGAGTGAATTTTTTCATCAGGAGATCTAGTTTCTTCTTGAAGGATGGACCACTCCTGTTAGTATTCCTGGTTTCTCTCAGATAAGATGGTGACACTATTGCAGCACGTCTGTGTGTGGACACGTATGTCACAAATGGGACAGTCACCAAGAAGCACAGATCAGAGCTATAGCCATTAAAACCTAAACCTTTACTACTGAACAATTTCAATAATAAATTTCCCAGTATAATCTTCATGTTTAAATTCTCTCTTGAATCATAAGATATCCTTTAATAACACATATATTTTCTAAACAATAGAAATGCATTTCTTTCCCTAGAAAAAAATTAAGTTGTCACCCAGATTTTCCTTATACTTAAGGTGTGAAAAAGGAAGTAAATCAAATTTCAAAGAAGCTGTCGAAGCCAAGATGCTCCACCACTGACGAATGGATTGAGAAAATGTGGTATCTAAACACAATGGAATTTTATGCAGCCATGAAGAAGAACGAAATGTTATCATTTGCTGGTAAATGGATGGAATTGGAGAACATCATTCTGAGTGAGGTTAGCCTGGCCCAAAAGACCAAAAATCGTATGTTCTCCCTCATATGTGGACATTAGATCAAGGGCAAACACAACAATGGGATTGGACTTTGAGCACATGATAAAAGCGAGAGCACACAGGGAGGGGTGAGGATAGGTAAGACACCTAAAAAACTAGCTAGCATTTGTTGCCCTTAACGCAGAGAAACTAAAGCAGATACCTTAAAAGCAATGAGGCCAATAGGAAAAGGGGACCAGGAACTAGAGAAAAGGTGAGATCAAAAAGAATTAACCTAGAAGGTAACACACACGCATAGGAAATTAATGTGAGTCAACTCCCTGTATAGCTATCCTTATCTCAACCAGCAAAACCCCTTGTTCCTTCCTATTATTGCTTATACTCTCTCTACAACAAAATTAGAAATAAGGGCAAAATAGTTTCTGCAGGGTATTGAGGGGGTGGGGGAGAGGGAGGGGGCGGAGTGGGTGGTAAGGGAGGGGGTAGGGGCAGGGGGGAGAAATGACCCAAGCCTTGTATGCACATATGAATAATTAAAACAATAAAAAAAAAAAAACACAAATAAGCTGTTGAAATCAGGACCCATCATTCCACTGCCCTAGTACCATTAACCACTAGACAAAAATAATCATTAAAATTTAAAAAAAATTTTTTTAAATGCCTGTGTTTCAAATTCATTTTTAGTAATTTATTCAATGAGTGTTTCCTGACTAACACATGTCCCGGCACTTTGCTGTCACTTTCATAAAAGAAAGCAATAGAGGTATGGTTTGCCCATGCTCACTAGTGACTTAATGTTTCTCTTTAATTTCTCCTTCATCTTACAAATGTCAAAACAAGTTATATTCAACAAGCCATAATTCAAAATTAAAACGAAATATTCAAATCAACTAATTCATTGTTGTTTAACATACTCTTAATTGTCAAAACAAATAAAACTTAAGCAAACTGAACTATATTTGAATATCCAAATTATCCCAGGGAGGGGAAATGCACAGCTAAGGACTTTTTTTTAAAATCAGCAGTCACTGTCTTGAGTCTACTCATGTCTTCTCATAGTGAAGAACCCATTTTAAACAAAGGATGCTTAGAAAAGGTAAAAGTCAGGCCTGGTGGTGGTACATGCCTGTAAGCTCAGCACTTAAAGGCTGAAGGAGGAGATTTTCACATTTTGAGTTAGAGGTGATACTGACCACCCTGGGCTAAAGAGCCAGACCCTGACTCAAAAAAAAAAC